AGACAAGAGTCTCACTATGTTGCCCTCAGTAGAGTGCTGTGATATCACAGCTCACAGCAACCTCAAATTCTTGGGCTTAAGAGATTTTCTTGCCTCAGCCTCCCAAGTAGCTGAGACTGTGGGTGCCTGCCACAACACCTGGCTATTTTTCTGTTGTTGTAGTTGTCATTGTTTGGCAGATCTGGCTGGGTTCAAACCTGCCAGCCCCCATGTATGTGGCTGGTGCCCTAGCCAATGAGCTACAGGCACTGCCTACAAACATTTTTTATAAATTTAGTGTATCCTAAGTGTACAGTAGTTATAAGATCTATAGTAATTTACGGTAGTGTCCTAGGCCCTCACTTGCACTCACTCACCACTCACCACCCAGAGCAACTTCCAGTCTTACAGCTCCAGTCATGGTAAGTGCCCTGTATGGATGTACCAGTTTTTATCTTTTATACTGTATTTTACTGCACCTTTTCTATGTTTAGACACACAAAAACTTACCACTGTATTACAGTTGTTGCTGTGCTGTATGGGGTTGTAGCCTGGAGACAGGCTGCGTGTAACACAGCTGAGTGTGTAGTAGGCGATGCCACTGGGGTGTGAGAGCCTTTGCCACTCACTGTGACACGCGCTCAGAATGTGTCCCCAGCGTTTAGCAGTGCATGCCTGTGTTTTCTCCTATCCTGTGTGGTTGTCTTTTCACTCTCTTGATGGTGTTGTTTGTAGCACAAATTATTTCAATTTTGATGAAGTCCATTTTATCTCTTTTTTCTTTCTCTTTGTTATGCTCATAGCGTTGTATCTAAGGAAAGAAACGCCAAATCTAAGGTTGCAAAAACTCCTGTTTTTTCCTACAAGTATTATAATTTTAACTTTTACATTTAGGTCTAATCAATTCTGAGTTTGTTTTGTATATGATGTGAGATAGGGGCCCAGGTTCACTCTTTTGTATATAGCTATGCAGTTGTTCCAGCACCATTTGTTGAAAAGACTATTTTTTGCCCCGTCAAATGGTCTTGACACCCTTGTTAAAAATCAGTTGGGTTTACACGCATGGGTTTATTTCTGGATTCTCAAATGTTAATCTGTGTGTCCCCTATGCCGGTACCACGGTCTTGAATAGTATGGCTTTGTGGTAGTTTTTAGCTTGAAAACAGTGACTCTTCCAATTTTGTTATTCAGAATTGTTTAACTATTTGGATCCTTTGTATTTTCTTACTAATTTTAGGATTAGATCATCAATTTCTGCAAAACAACAACCAGCTGGGATTGTTATAGGGATTACATTGAACCTGTAGATCAATTTGGATAATATCACCATCTTTTTTTCTTTTTTTAAGACAGAGTCTCACTTTGTTGGCCTCAGTAGAGTGCAGTGGCATCATAGCTCACAGCAACCTCAAACTCTTGGGCTCAAGCAATTCTCTTGCTTCAGCCTCCCAAGTAGTTGGGACTACAGACACCTGCCACAACGCCTGGCTGTTTTTAGAGACGGAGTCTCTCTCTGGCTCAGGCTGGTCTCGAACCTGTGAGCTCAAGCAATCTACCCCCCTGGGCCTCCCAGAGTGCTAGGATTACAGGCATGGGCCACCACGTCCCGCACGCCATCTAACAATATTAACCTTTTCTTCTGTGAACATAAGATGTCTATTTATTTAGATCATAATTTCTTACAATAATGATTTGTAGTTTTCAGTGTGTCATGCTTTTCTTTTATCCTCTTTGATATTATAAATGGAAGCTTTTTAAAATTTCAGAATTCAGAATGTTCATTGCTACTATATAGAAATACAGTTAATTGGCTCAGTGCCTGTGGCTCAAGCAGCTAAGGTTCCAGCCACATATACCTGAGCTGGCGGGTTTGAATCTAGACCAGGCCCGCCAGACAACAATGACAGCTGCAACCAAAAAATAGCTGGGTGTTGTGGCAGGCGCCTATAGTCCCAGCTACTTGGGAGGCAGAG